TAGTTTTCGCGCTCTCGTATAAAATTAAAAGTACACAGAAAATATATGCATATATGCATGAATTTCTTCACATTAAATTAACCCACACAAGTAGAACATACGAACACACATACACACAACACACACATACACACACAACACACACAACACACATACACACAGCACACACATACACACAACACACACATACACACACAACACACACAACACACATACACACAGCACACACAACACACACATACACACACAACACACACATACACACACAACACACATACACACAGCACACACATACACACAACACACACATACAACACACATTGAACACCAAAATCACACGCATACGCCATGCGTGCGTGCGTGCGTGCGTGCATACAAACAAACAAACAGTAAACAAGTGTGAGAAAGAGATGGTGATTTGTTGGTTGATAATTGTTCCCTGAGAAACGATGTGTCTGTCTTTGATGGGGTTTCAATTTGGGTTCTGCACAATTGATTCCGTTGCGAATATAACTGCTCTGTTTGCTGTTTAAGACTGTGTTTGTGTGCGTATCAAGACAAGAGTATTATTTTACACATCACACTATACATGTTTGTGTATGTATATTGTATACAGTTATTAATATGTATTAATATGAATGTATGTACTGTGAACAACTCCCTATTGTGCTATCCATCCTATAGCTCTTTATTATACAATATCCCAGAGAATTGCAAAACTTTAACCAAATCCTTCAATACTCTGATGCTAAACGATTGCTCATTATAAAATTTTATCGATGAATGTTTTATGTTTGGTTGTGAATTTTTTCTCTAAAACAAAACAAAAATGCTTTTAAAAATCCAATTATATATTTATCTGATTATTTTGTCAGCTCCACACACGTAAATGACGTCACTGATTGATATTAATGATCAGAGATTATAAATATTTTATTACTGTGGAATAGAGTTTTTGAGTTTTTCATATTTTCACGAGTACAAAAAACTACTTCGTAGTTTACATTTCATAAATGATGTATCTAAGATGTGTGTTGTTGTTGTTGTGTTGTATAGCTAGGGAGGGTGTGTCTGCTCCAGATGAATGTCTTACTAATTGCTATTGTTATGAATAGGAACGTGTTATGATCACTCGCTCAAAAGTATTTAGCTGAATCATTAATAAAATTTTTACTTTATTTAAAATGATCAACTCCTTTCAATCTGGAATACATACATATGTTTAAATAAAATATATACAAATGTATATATGTGTGTGTGTTTCTCATCTTTCTCTCTCTCTCTCTCTCTCTGTGTGTGTGTGTGTGTGTATGTGTTGTGAATAATACAGATGTTGGGTGTGTACAAATTATTTGTGCAACGGTGTCTGTATGTATGAACGTTGAGGTGGGGCTGTTGATGAATTCTCAAATTTTTAACAGGTGAATAAGTGTCGGCTGCTTTGGAAGTTATTTTTGCGGAAGTTTCTGTGATAGCGGTGATGTCATTTTAATGTAATGATGATGCTATGTTAGGTGTTGTGCTCTGACGTCACGATGATGTCATAATTAATGTTAATCACTGATGTTGCTAGGTGATAATATTACGACGTCCTGATGATGTCATGACGATGTTCGTTATTGATGTTATGATGATGGAGCTCTATTGGTTGTGTAATGGTGTTCTGTTAATGTTATGAATCTGTTGATGCTCTTAAGATGCGATGGTGAATGGTAATGTTATTAAGTTTGCCTTTTAATGCTGATGTCATTAGCCTTGTTTTTGTTGTAAACAAACAATGATCACGTAAGAGTTTCTGTGTCGTTGTAATCTGAGTACGTGATGATGACGTCATTTGATTTCGTGACGCAGTTATTATTTCCGCTAATCTTCATATTTCGGCCACTGGATCAATCAGATGTTTAATCAGCCGTGCTGCCACTGCTGACTTTAAACCTTTAGCCTCTGTAGATTAGTCTCAAAAACACAAACACACGCACGCACACGCACACACATACATTGACAAACAGATAACACACACAACTTTGATTAATTTCTGCAGCATCTAGCACATCTTGGAAGTTAGAGAATTATATATGACTGAAGTTGAAATGTCCAGAGATATTCATGAAGATATATATGACATACGTGAACGTAGAGATATATATGATATATGCGAATGTAAAGATATTTAATGATATATGTGTTAGGGAGTGCGCGATGATGTTGCTGGTTTGTGACGAATGTACATGTTGACATGGGGCCAGCATTGTTTACGTGGAACATTAACGTCTGTAACACGATACTTCTGAAGGTCTGCCTATGTTTGTTCGTTCTTTGTATGCTGTTTGTATGTTTCTTGTATGCAGTTTGTATGTTTCTTGTATGCAGTTGGTATGTTTCTTGTATGCAGTTGGTATGTTTCTTGTATGCAGTTGGTATGTTTTTTGTATGCAGTTTGTATGTTTCTTGTATGCAGTTTGTATGTTTCTTGTATGCGGTTTGTATGTTTCTTGTATGCGGTTTGTATGTTTCTTGTATGCGGTTTGTATGTTTCTTGTATGCAGTTTGTATGTTTCTTGTATGCGGTTTGAGTGTTTCTTGTATGCAGTTTGTATGTTTCTTGTATGCGGTTTGTATGTTTCTTGTATGCGGTTTGTATGTTTCTTTTATGCGGTTTGTATGTTTCTTAAATGCAGTTTGTTTTGTTTTTTTGTATGAGGTTTGTATGTTTCTTGTATGTAGTTTGTAAGTTTCTTGTATTCGGTTTGATGTATTTGTATGCGGCTTGTATGTATCTTGTATGCAGTTTGTATGTTTTTTGAATGCAGCTTGATGTATCTTGTATGCAGTTTGTATGTTTTTTGTATGCAGTTGGTATGTTTTTTGTATGCAGTTTGTGTGTTTTCAAGCGTTAAAAATTAATTGGCGTGTGTTATAAAACAGAATTGTGACAGCAGAGCAATTCAGTAAGAAACGTCAAAAAACGAAGCGATGTTCAGTAATATCGTGCATTCACCTGTCGAAAAACACCCCGGCAAACATAAGAACACGAGTCTGCTGCTATCAAACGGAGCATTCATCATAATGTGATGTGTGCATGGCTGGCTAGGTGGAGTTATCCTTTGCAATCGAACCCGATGTCTTTGTCACACCACCGATGTAAGTGACATCCTGTGTTACTTATTACAAACGCTTAGGAAATCATTTGAAGATGGAAAATAAAAAATCATTTTGTAAATAATTCGATGATGGATATGATATTTTCATCTTGTTGATAGAATTTTCCAAAAAGGCATGAATATATATTAAATAGATGAATATGTTCATTTTATTTTCATACACAACACAAATTCACGCCCACATATACACACACACGCACACACACACACGCACACACACACACACACAATCACACACAACAGTTAATAGCAGGTGTGAGGGCATTTATCAGTTCATTCACTTATAATTCACTTATAAATGCATGGTGTGCGTGTTCGTGTGTTGGTGCTTGCGAGTGCTGGAGTGAATGCAGGGAGATGGTTTATTGTTTGTATGCATGCTAAAGCGCATCCAACTTGTAATGTGATATCTTCGTTTCCCTCTCTCTCCCTCTCTCTCTCTCTTTCCCCTCTCTCTCCTTTTTATATCTCTGATTTTTTATCTCAATAAAAAAACATGTAGTGAACTTCTTTAACGAATTGAAGCATGAATAACATCTCCCATTCAGAAATTTATGACGAGTTTAAAAAAATATATGAATGAATGGAGGTTGCCTGAATTTATGAAGGTCGTTTGAAATTTATTACTTGAGAAAAATTGTTGTGCAGAAGATTTAATGGCACGTTTGCTTCTAAAAATATCTCGTTTATTCTTTCATTTATTTATACAGTGTTTTTTTTAATGATTCAGCCATTCATTCATTCGTTTATCTATTCAATCACTCATTCGTTCGTTCGTTCGTTCGTTCTTTCGTTCGTTCGTTCATTCGTTCGTTCGTTCATTCGTTCGTTCGTTCGTTCGTTCGTTCGTTCATTCATTCATTCATTCATTTTTTCGGTAATTCATTTCCTTGTTTACTTAATATTTTCTTTCTTGCATTTGTCCATCTCAGCCGTCGATAATTTTATCCTCACTCATTCAATTGTTGGGATGCTTCGCGTTGGAGTTGGCCGTTCATTAGGGTGATTTTTGGCACGTTCGAAGATATTATCCAACCCCCCTCCTTTCAAATTATTTGTTCAAACAGTCTTTTATTCATTTTCAAATGAACTGATTTTGAATCATCTCACAAAAATTTATTAAATTTAAATTGAATTAATTGTCCAGTTGAAAATTAAAATCCGACCGATGCGAGCCACGTTATCTTGTGACGTAGCCACTTGACGAGCAGAGCAATGTTACTCGAGAGAACCAACTCCCCACCCCCGTCATCTTCTTCCTCTTCCTCGTCATCTTCACTATCACTATCATCACTCGATGGAGACTTCAATAAGAAGACCTTGACATTGTGTGACCTGTCCAAGCACCAATACTTCAAACAACAACAACTTCAACACGTCCAGCTTCAGCAGCAGTTTCAACCCGAATTGATCACGAGCAACTTGTTCAGTTTATACAACGGCGGCACGTTGGAGAGCGAGTACGCTTATTTGAGCGGTCAGAATTATTTCAATGGATTCTCGCTGGGACACGATGATATGAGGCACCAGCAACATCAGCAACTGCACACAAATCCATCCATGTACGTTCAAGACCACTACAGTGAGACTAGCCAAATATCTGACAACGTCTGCAACAAAATTCATTTCAACTCTAAGAAGACGTGTGACTCCGAGAGCCCGTTAAAACCAAACAACATCAACAACCACCCAAACAAAAATATCCTCAACAACATCAACAATTTCACCAGCAACAATGATAACATCAACAATCTCAAAAACAACAAAAGCGACTTGATCCTGCTGAACGCCACAGCATCTCCCCCAGCAACGACAGCAGCAACAACATCCACCTCCACGTCTTTCACATTCTCACAAGACCAAGTTGCTTGCGTCTGCGAAGTTCTCCAAAACAGCGGGAACTTCGAAAGGTTATCCAGGTTCCTGTGGTCTCTGCCAAGTTGCGACCAGCTACACAAACAAGAAAGCGTCTTGGTGGCGAAAGCTTTCGTGTACTTTCACAACGGGAATTACAATGATCTTTACAGGTATTATTTATTTCAATAATCTGTATAGGTTATTAAGGTAGTATTAAACTATTAAGATACTGCGACAATTTCTATTAATGATGTTATAGTTGCAGGTTGAAATGTCACGCCGTAATATTTTCTACAACAGCCATGAGTGATATTGTAACATTTGATTTTTTTTTTCATTAAAACACGTCTCCAAACGACCATAAATGCGTCATATTTTATTAAAATTTAATTTTTTAATGTTCGGCTTGATAAAAATCTAATTGCATAAATTTTTAAATGGATAACCACCTCCAATTTTTATTGCACGAGCAAAAAAATGCTGATATTCTGAAAGTATTGAATTTGAAATCTGGTTACTCACTCACACAAATGATTAAACAATCATTTAAATATATTATATTTATATGTTCAGATTTTAATAAAATGTTATTATATATATATATATATATATATATATATATATATATTCAAGTTTTATGACCTTTACAAATAATACGAACACGTGGATTGTAAAGCTTAAGTAATTTCATTATATTATGTTAAAAAAAGTTTCGCTGGAATACTGATTAACTGATAACAATGTTAACGGACATGTTAAAATAACTCATCAATTTTCTTCCGCTCTTAGGTTTAACGTTCGTTCGTAATATATTCGTAATAAATGAACGTGTTTCATCTGTTCTCCATCGTCCCTGATTTATCGCCTACTAAGACGTCAAATTTATCAAATTCAGATGCAATCTTATTAAATATTATTTGTAACTCTCTGCTTGTGAATCTTAATACATATTCATATATCTATTTTATTATCTATATTTATTCGCGTTTTAGACAACAATAATTTTTCATTTTTACTGCTTGTCAATTTTCAGACTACTTGAGAACAGCACATTTTCAACGCAGAACCACACAAAGCTGCAAAACCTCTGGTTGAAGGCGCACTACACGGAGGCAGAGAAGCTGAGGGGTCGACCGCTGGGAGCAGTAGGGAAGTACCGGATCAGAAGAAAGTATCCCCTTCCGGCTAACATTTGGGACGGTGAGGAAACTAGCTACTGCTTCAAAGAAAAGTCGAGGTTGGTCTGTTTGCTGGTCGGATGAGATGAGACTGGTCAGATAGGCTGGAATGTTTCTTATATACAAAAATGTAAATTTTTGCAATTTTAAAACAAGTACAATATAATACGACATAAAACAAAATTTTGAAAAATTATTAAAAATTTTTTAATAAATTTTGCATTAGGTCAATATTGAAAGATTGCTACAAGAAAAATCCCTACCCGTCACCACGAGAGAAGAAGAATCTGGCGGAGAACACTGGACTGACGACGACGCAAGTTAGCAACTGGTTCAAGAACAGGAGGCAAAGAGACAGGGCCAATGAGGCAAAAGAAAAGTGAGTCAAATGTTTTTATTGGCTACTGTTTATAATATTTCCGTTTTCAACTACTCTTCTGAATGACTTTATTCGAGCGGCTATTCCGTAACTTTATTTTGACTGTTGCTTTGAACACAACCACACGTACCAGCACAAACACACACACACATTTTCCCTCCCACACACACACACACACACACACACGCTCACACACGCTTACACACTCATCAGCAGACAAAAATTGATGTTCCAACTAAAAGGCATAAACACACACAGAGCTAAGAAGCTGACATGCATTAAATTTTCATACTAAATTTTATTTTATTTACATGCCGTTAACGTGCTGTGCTGCGCTGTGTGCAATCAACCAACAGTTGAAAATAAAATTAACAAGATAGAAATTAATATCTATTATACATGGAATACATCTATAAACACACATCTATGAATATTTAAATATTGGATGTGTATCAGACATGAGCCATAAAGATACATAAATACATAATACATTCAATATTATGATCTATTTTATGCATTTTATAGAATACGGACATCATGTTGTCGTGTAGTTATGTTTATATCCTGTCTGTATATGATTACGTGGGACGTGTATAGAGTTTTAACGGCTGTCGGAATAAAATTATATGATGGATAAAGTTATATGATGAAAATATTTTGAAATATAATACTGCACTATCTTCCTCACTCACTCATTCATTCATTCGTTCGTTCGTTTATTCGTTCGCTCATTCGTTCATTTGTGCGCACTCACTCACTCTTTCATTCATTCAAAAGATTGAATGATTCATTCGTAAACACTTTTTCATCCATTCATTCACCATTTAAAAATATTTTTATAGTTTCATGTTTTTCTTATTTTTTTTTATTTAATTTTTTTAGCGCTATATTAACAGAAAATAAATTAAAGTCTAAGGCGTATTAACGCACATGCAGATGGGTAGGTACCGAAATAGCCTTATCATTTTCCACCATCTGGATCGGCTGCATTTCAATTTGCGAGCTTTTAGCTAATTCATTCGTTGTTATTTTTTTGAATGTTAACTCGTTGATGTGCTGTTAGGTTGTGAAGGAACTTGCTCGCGTTGAGAAATGTGAATGAGGTACCTGGAGTCATTGAATGATGGTTTGGTAATTGAAGGGTTGGATGATTGGTTGGTTGGATGGTTGGTTGGCTGGATGGTTTGTTGGCTGGTTAGATGATTGGTTAGTTGGCCGGTTGGCTGGTTCGATGGATGGTTGGTTGGCTGGTTGGTTGACTGGTTGGTTGGTTAGTTGGTTCAATTTTTTCAAATGTAAAAATTATTGACTGTTTTTAAAGTTTCCGTAGCATTTTCTGACTGCAGTTATTTTCTTCATCATCCTTTTTTTATTCGTCGGCATTATTCCGTTCCGACGTAATTTCACTTAATCACCACTATGATCCTCCTCATCATCATCACCACCATGATCATCACCATTGTCGTCGTCGTTATCACTTTTGTTCTCTTCTTCCTAATCAAAAAATGAGAAAATCCACCAATATGAATGAAGGAACAACTAAAAAGTCTTAGGAGGAATGAAATATTTACAGCAAAAAACTTTTTTCCATACATGTGAGTAGCGTTCTTCAATGTTTAAGATACAAGAGGAAATCCGCGATGATGAGGTTCTGCGGAATCGGGCGGGAAGCAGGCGGGGAGGAGCCAGACGGCACACGTACGTCAGCAGCGAGTTTAAAAAATTTGTTTTCGGGCGATGATTTATTAATTCTGAAAAACTTAAAAATAATTCACCATTTCCCGTGTAACTTTTTGGCTTTAATTTAAAAAAACAACAAAATAAACAATCGTTGAGGATTTTTAATTGTGAATTAAGAAATACGCTTGAAAATTTGTTTAATTTTAACAATGCAACTTGTGAAGCAAATCTAATACGCAGATGAAAATTAGCTGCTGTATGTTTTTGCAATATGTCACTGACTATCAGATGCCAAACGCACGAACATGAATAAACATTGGTGGAGAAACATTCATTGACATGTACGTTTAAGTGCATGTATGTTTGTGTAGGTACGTATGTATGTTTGTGTAGGTACGTATGTATGTTTGTGTAGGTACGTATGTATGTTTGTGTAGGTACGTATGTATGTTTGTGTAGGTACGTATGTATGTTTGTGATGGTACGTATGTATGTTTGTGTAGGTACGTATGTATGTATGTTTGTGTAGGTACGTATGTATGTTTGTGTAGGTATATCTGCATGTTTGTATTAGCCATTTGCGTTACAGAGTTTCAATCCAAGCGTACAATTTTCTTACATCACCACACATTCATAATGTGCATTTGCAACTTTAATTGAATTTTCAATCGATAAAACGTTGAAATATCGCAGAGGCAGCTGTTGAATCAGATGACGACGGATCTGTGGAGACTATCCCTGCCCAGTCTAGTTTCATAAAACTAGCAGATCACCCATTTAATTTTCAAGCGTATAATTCATTTGTTAGTCCATCCATCATTTTATTCATTCCGGATCTCTTCCATCTTTTTGTTAAACAATTCAATCAACACCCCATCCACTCACATTGTATCCATCCATCTATCCAAATCCAGATCCATTATTACTGCTATAAAATTCCAATCATTCGTTTCTTTCTCACAAGACGATACGACTCCTAATGGTACCAACCAACCCATGAATGGGAAACACACATACACACACGCAGACAGACAAACACATACACACAAACACACAGACACGCACACAGACACGCACACAGACACACACACACGCACGCAGATTAAATTTTTGCTTTTCAACCAACTGATGTTAGCAATTTATCTTCTAATAATCTTATTTTCGGTTGTCTTCCCATGTTAACCAACCATGATTGATTAGAATATTGATCCACATTAATTTTTATGTTTTTCAAATATTATTAAACTAACAAAAATTATGCTATTGTTTAAAAAATAGTTACTTGTTTATAGATAAACATTACAAAGACATAGCGATAAGATTCATTTATGTTATGTTTCTTTCTATATACGTGGTTTGTGGGTTTGTGTGTGGTTTGTCTGTAAAATTGTACGTTAATTTTAGCGGCGGAATTATTTTTATTTTGTAATGGTTTTTGTAATCTTTGTTGAAACTGGTTCATCGTGCAGTTCCATTAAAACTGATAATTAAACAATATTAATAAATGCCACGTGTAAAGTTAAGGTTGTCATAAAACTGTAAAAACATTAATAATATCAGCAGACAAACAATAACTACAACAACGTCAACAACAACAACAACATTATCAACAACAACAACATTAACAACAACAACATCAACAACAACAACAACAGCCACAACTACCAACAAGCCGACAATAGCAAATTGTTATATTGATACATAAATCATCGACCACTTTGTAAAATCGTTCACATCGTTATAAACATGCTGTAAACATGAACATAAACACGTTCATTTAATAAAACAGAGCGATATAAACAGATACAATACAAACATTGACTTATATAAAAAGGCATACATGCAAATATAAATTAGCTTGAAAGAGAGAGAGAGAGAGAGAGAGAGAGAGAGAGAGAGAGAGAGAGAGAGAGAGAGAGAGAGAAGCAGACAGAGGCAGACAGACAAAACAAAAAAGAGTAAAATAGAAAACATGAAATAGAAGAATAACAGAGTAATAAAAAAATGAAAAAAAAACAGAAAAAAGAATACTAAAACAAAACTTAACATTTGAATGTCATTGATTGAGTGGTGTATAAATGGGAAATTTCGATTATATATCTTTAATTTTCAACTTATTTGTATTAGTTTTGAGTTTTATAAAAAATATCTCGAAGAATTTATATTCTTATTTTCTCATATAATGAGTTCATCTGCTTCGTTTGAAATATTTTAAATATTTTAAATCATTTTTATATAATTTTCAGCTATTTCATACCCTATAGCAAATTTATTTTACAAAAACTTTTTACGAAAAAGAGAGAGAGAGAGAGGGAAAGAGAGAGATAGAGAGAGAGAAAGAGAGAGAGAGAGAGAGAGAGAGAGGAGAAAAAGAGAAGGAAAAGGGTGAATGATAGATCATAATGTATACGTTTATTATAAAGTTTTAGTGGGAGAACCTAACTAAATGAATGATATATAGGAATTTTTATAAACATAGTAAATTATATTGACTAACTATAATTCGCGTGCGTGTGCATGTGAGGACTTGTTATGTGTGGTTATTTGTGTTAGCACGCGTGTGTGTGGTGTGTGTGTGAGTGTGGGTGGATATATATCTTTATGTGTGTGTGTGTGTGTCGTGTGTGTGTGTGTCGTGTTTGTGTTTTTGTATATATGTAATTGGGTTGATGTTATATTGTTAACAAATGAACATTTGAAAACCCATCCTAATTCCTAAATCATAATGTAATTATTTTTGCTTGGCTGATTTTGCCGTTGTTTTGTTGAATGTGATGACGCTTTTTCGACACACCACACACACACACACACCACACGCACCACACACATACACTCACACTCATACTCACGCACGCACACACACAAACACAGGTCCACATATGCAAGTGTGTACATTAAAAAGTGATTCATTGGCATGTGAGTACACTGCTAGCACAAGAACACAAAATTAAATTAACTCTTAATCGCTTCCCGCCAAATAAATCAGCCCAATTTCCCGCTTAAAAACTAAAATATGTAATAAATCACTGGCTAGTGTATAAAATCTTAATAATAATAACAATTTTTCATTCAAAATTTTCTTCATATTATTATTATTATTATTGGCGAAAGATTATGATTATTATTATGATTATTATGATTATTATTATATTATTATTATTATTATTATTATTATTATTATTATTATTATTATTATTGTATTGCGAAATACGAGAGTTGGCAGACTTCTACTAGCTCACTATTTTAGTTACATTAATCGAGTTTTATATAGTTTTAAAGTATAAAAAATAGGTGTAAAAATTGCGAAAAATTATGACGAATAAAATGATATTAATTTTTCCTAATTCTAAATATCTATTAAATTTAATTATAATTTTTAACTTAATTTTAATAATAATCAAAAATCAAGCTCAATAACAACACTCGATAAACCAATCAACAAACTAAAGTCAGAATTGAAACAATTAAAGCTGCTAGGCCGTAACAACCACAATTTTGACGTCCAAATTAGCACGCTGAGCAAACATATTAGATCAAAAATATCATCAGCAAAAGCGATAAAAGCTGAAAAAACAGTCGATTAAAACAAAAATTCTGGGCAACGTGTGAAAAATTACTAAATCCGACAACCGCTCTGTCACCACTGTTTAGCGTCGAAGAAGCTAACAAATTTTTCAACAAAATTTTAAAAGACCCATTTCACAATAAATATCGCCTTCCAAATTGGATCGAACCTCTAACGATCCCTTCAATTGCCTGCAATACCAATCCTCCTACGTACAATGAAATATTCTCAATAATCAGGAAATGTAAGTCGAAAGCATCTCCTTGTCCTCTAGATCAAATGTCAATAATAATTCTCAAAAAATGTCCCATACTTCGCACAATCCTTCATCTATTACTGGTTGAGTGTTGGAGAACGTCGTCGATCCCTACATGCTGGAGAAAAGGGTTGACCATACTGATCTACAAAAAAGGAAACACCAACGACCCAGCAAATTTCAAGCCAATAACACTTCAACCAGTATTCTATAAAACTTTCTCAACATTTGTAAACAATAGAATATACAAATATTTAGATTCAAACAACTTCATTAATAAAAACATCCAAAAAGGCTTCTACCCCAAAGTTGACGGTGTAGCTGAACACACGCAACTACTATCTCACCTTCTAGACATCAGAGGACAATCATTGTTACCCTCCTAGATTTAAGAAATGCATTTGGCGAGGTTAGCCATGATCTAATTTCATCTATCCTAAGTTATCACCACATCCCAAACCAGGTCAGCAATCTAATTAGATCAATATACGCCGATTACTCGATAACTGTATCGGCGTGCAACAAACTAACCTCCCCAATTCAAGTAAAAAGGGGGGTCCTACAAGGTGACCCAGGCTCACTATTGATTTTTAACCTCTGTTTCAATCCTCTAATGAAAATGCTGGAAGCAAAACAATATCAACAATGCGGATACATATGGAGACCAACAGCCAATCTAAAATCCAGAGGCTGGTTTCAGTTTGCCGACGATTCGGCAATCATTGCTAACAGTTCCGAGAGTGCCCAGAGACTGATCAATGGTGCAATTAGACGGGTATGAAGCTGAGAACTGACAAATGCTGTACATTTGGGATGAGAAAGTTGGACGGAAGGTATGAGCAGTTTTTGCCTCAATTAACAATAGATGATGAAATAATTCCCCGGGTGAATATTAACGAAGGTTTTACGTACTTAGGAATAATGTACGATTTTGAAGGCAAAGATACCAGAGAGAAAAACAAACTGCACAATAAGCTCAAGGTTATGCTAAGGAAAATTGGTGGACTGGATATAACTGTTCAATGGAAGCTGGAAATTCTTAGGCGTTTTGTCCCTACTCAAATCTCATTTGAACTATGCACCTACAATATTTCATTAACCTGGATAAAAAACACACTGGACCACCTTGTGACAAAAACAGTAAGAGATTGGCTATCACTGCTCATAAGCAGTTGCATCGCCGAAGTTAGCTCGCTGCCGTATAAAACTGGTGGCCTCAACATAAAATCGTTGGTAAAATGGAAGAAATGAGATCATTGTGGAGTGAATCTCACAACAATTATGGAAAGATTGACAACCTGATCCTGGGAAATGTTGAATTAAAACCAGCAATGAATGCTCTAAAACAGAAGCATTATGAAACGAACTTTAATCATCTCTCGCTGCTGCAATGCCAAGGTACTACCCTTGTGAAATCAATAAAAGAGTACATCAATAGCTCCGAGATAACGCGATGGTCCAGGTCGACTGTAAAGCAATCAGAGGTCCTCTATAAATTCATCAGAAAATACCTTATTCAACAGCTACCAACAAACGCCAACCTTTTCAGATGGGGCAAAACTACAAATGCATCATGTTTGCTCTGCAATGCAACACAAACGAACAAACACGTCATGTCAAACTGTGGCTCATCATCTGCATTGAGCAGATACTTAGATCGCCACAACAAAATTTTAAAAATAATTATCGATAATTTCATGGTAGTCACGAGGCCGGGTGTCGAGATTTTTGCGGATTTGAAAGGGGAAAAGATACGACCAATAACAGACTTGTTCAGATCACTCCGTCCTGACATTGCCGTCCGCAACAATGACACGATCGAGATACTTGAACTGACTGTCTGCCATAAAACTAACTTCATAAAATCAAAGCAATTTAAAATGAATAAATATTTTGGTAATTTGAAAGATAGTATTATTGATGACTTTAAGCATTGCAATATTTTAATTAATACCTTTGAAATATCGCCAATTGGCTTTTACAATCCTTTTAATATGTCTTTAATTGATATAACTTGGACCGATTATTTTAGATTTAGCTTGATTAACAGTGTAATTTCGTCATCATCTCTGTATTGTGATAGAAACAATGAGTGAAGTTTTTTATACTATTTATCATCATGGTACTTACTTATTTTCATAAGATGACGAGCAATGATGACTATCCGTATTACTCTAACACTTTATCTTTATTTTATTTTATTTTATTCATCTAACTGTATATTTAACTATATTCAATTTTATTTCATTGTCAATATTTTGATTTTACTTATGCTCTGTCTTTGGAAAATAAAAGAGTTCACATTATTATTATTATAATTATGCCAGTGCAGTCTTTATAGATCCCTCCATCTTACCATTAAAAGATGTTTCAACGGAGGGATAAGGTTTTTTAATTTTTGTAAATTTGTGAAAAATGATGACGTCATAACTGAGGTTTAATTTAGGCACGTACACACACACACACACACAGAGAGAAAGAGAGAGAGAGAGAGAGAGAAACACAAACACCCTCACACAAACACACCAACAACGTTAAAATTATGAATTAATGATATGTAAGAATTTATGAAAATCAATCAATGTCTACGTGAAAAAAGCTACCATAAGAGGCTGAATAAGTTGATTGTAGTTAAGTGTTTAATGAGTTGTTGGAAAGGTTCAGAAGATTGCAGTAGTTGTAAAAAGTTGTAAGAAGTGTTAAGAAGTTTGTAGTAGATTTTATTTTCAAAAAATGGATTTATTGTTATAATAAAGGCTGCTGTAGATTTAATTTTCGTAAAATGAATTTATTGTTATGATAAATAATATGACACGAGACGACTTGATTAACCTTTCAGAGACCTCGGCAGTCCATCATGTTCAGATGATGGCGGCACAACAACTGACGTCACGCATCAACAACAACATCATTATCATCATCATCCGCAACAGCAACAACAACAACAACATATCCAACAACAACAACATCATCAGCATCATGTTCAATTGAATCAATCCCAAAATCAGCGTCATTCAATTTTTGAAGCTAGCAACATCATCAACAACAATAACAACAACAATAACAACAACAACATGTGGCGAGAATCTTCAACTCCATCAACATCACCGTCATCAAATATGTCATCTACAGCAATGACATTAACATCAACAACAACAACATCAACATCGTTGACCACACTAATCAACAGTTACAAATCCACTGCGTTTGAATATTCGCATTTACTTGGTGCTCACAATTACGATCATCATCTTCCTTATAAAAACGAAATCATATACAGTAACAACAACAACCACAACAACAACATCAACAACGATGTTAATGACGACATCAATAATAACAATCACCTATTTTGTAATGACAACAACTTTGAAAGCAGCAACAAACCTGAGGACAACATGAACCATTTTTATAACCGTGTTAATCTAAATGATTACCTACACTCGCAGAATTTTGCGCCAGTATTTCACTCATCACCTACAGACCTTTACAACAACAGCAACAACAGCAGCAACAATAACATCAACAACAAAAGCAGCAACAACAACAGCATTCACAACAACAACAACAACAACATCATTCACACCAACCAAACAACATCTTTTTCTGCCCAGCTCAACGACCCTGACGATGATTGCGTTAGAAATGCCTTCGTCAAATCAACAACGTTTTTCAGCCCATCAAACTACAACAACAACAGCAACAACAATTTTGATCCCGATGAAGAAGAAGATGAGGATGATGAAGATGGTGATGATGATGTGGATGAAATCCATTGCAACATTATTAAGAACAACAAGATTATTATGAAATCCGATCGTGATTTGAAAGACATTAAAACTTTAAATAACGCAAACAGTAACAACAACAACAACTTTAAAATGTACAACAACACCAATCTTCACAACGTCAACCACAACAGCCAGAGCCACAACAGCCACAACCACAACAGCCACAAAAACAAACCAAACGAAATGGCACAACAGAAAACCAGTAACACTATTTTATGACATCAACTCACATTTAATCGCAATCCGAGACTCAATTTTGTTGTTACGTTTGCAATGATCTTCCATATTTTCATTTTTGGAAACTCTCATTTAGTTATATTAATTATTCAACAAAATATACTTATTGTCATTTTAAACCGTTCAGTTTCAAGTGTTTTATTCGTTCGTTGTTAATTTATCGGTAATATTTACAACGTTTTCAAAAAAATGACTAAGGATTGGATAGCTAACTAGAATGAAATTTCTAATCAAGCGATTCTTGTACATCTGGATGAAGATGGATATATATAAATATATGAAATGACTTTTATTTTTACTTAATATTTCGTGGTTTATTTATTTCTAATTTGATAGTTTGCTGATTGACGGTCAGTTGAATGGATGGTCAGTTGAATGGATGGTCAGTTGAATGACTGGTCAGTTGAATGGCTGGTCAGTTGAATGGCTGGTCAGTTGAATGGCTGGTCAGTTGAATGAATGGTCAGTTGTTAAAGTGACGATAAAAACATGTTATATTAATAAGCATGTACAATGTAAATTTTCAATAACAAGATTTAATGATGATGATGAAAATTGTTTTGTGGGTTATTTAGAAATATTCTGTCCACGAAGTGTTTTTATTTCAAGTTTGAAAAAAATTATTTGTTTGCAGTTTAATCTCGAATTTTTTTAAATATTTTTTAAACGTCTTTGTTCTCAATTCTTGTAATTGATTTTATTTCAAATTACACTTCATGTCACAGACTTCATTTACGATTAAGCGAACTGCAATAAAAATTATTCAAACTAACAACACTAACTGATTCGAAAATAAAATTAAAATATAACAACTAATTTAGCAAAACCACTTCGTTATATAAATATTAATAAAAAAATAATTTTATTGAAATTTTAAAATATTCCTTAAAGATGGAGAAGCATAAACACTTCAAAGTTACTCGATCATTTTACGTTTCTCTCTCTCTCTGTGTTTGTCTCTCTCCCTCTCTCTGTTTCTCTTTATTTTTGTCACTATCTCTCAATATTTTTGATTCTTTCCTTTTTTTTGTTTAATTCATTCATTCGCTCGCTAGTAAGTAGTTAGTAATGTAATTTGAGACAACTATCATCCGAATTTTATAATTTTTATTTTACAAGGTCATCATCATCTTCATTACCATCCTCCATGCATCGCATTATCAAACTGCTGACGAAGGTCGTGCGGTATGTTTTGCATTCCGTATGCGTTTTGTATGCATTCCGTATGCGTTTGTATGTTCCGTGTATACATCTTGGATGCATCATGTACATATTCTGTATGTGTTCTGTGTACAACCGTTCCATTATGTTAGTATGAATTTGCGCAAAAAATGTACACACACACACACACACACAACACACACACACACACATGAACGCAAAGCGATTGTAAACAAAAGTTAAGTACTTGAAAATGTCTCCATCGATCTCAATACGTTTCGATAGATGGCAGGGTAGAACTGAGCAAACATTGTGCGTTGCGTAACTGTTGTTATTTTATTTACTCATTTATTTATAGCAGAGCTTTGCGCGTAAATTTAAAAGCAAATATGCGTCTGCTGAAACATCTGCTTGCCCGTCCGTCGTCTTTGTATCAATCAATCAAGTTTTTTAATTTAAACTTAATAACTATCTGCATGTTAGGTAAGTAAAAAAGTTAAAAAAACATCGTTAATGAACTGAAAAGAGGGAATTTTTATAAATCTGATTTTTCTAGAGCTGCGATCTTAATTTCATGTGTAGTTTCGGTTTCTAACTGTATAAAAATGAGTGGCGGTCTGTAATGGAAACTTTCAGAATGGGTCAAAAAATTGTGGCATACTTTATGGGCTGTTTTGAGAAGTTTTGACAGTTTATGTTAAGGTGCCGAAAAAACACAAAAAAGCTTGACACACTTTGTGCATAGTAGTCATTGAGAAAACCATTAAAAATGATTTTTTACTTTTTTAAATCTGTATAATGTATTACATTATTTACTTGTTTAATTAAATGTAATAATTAATTTAAATATTCGCAACATTTATCCTAATATACTATATTAGTATTTTCGTCACTGTTTGATACTCTCAAAAAATTAACTTTAAATAAACATGTTAAGTGACTGCATGTAAACAAAACGACGTACAAATTTATATAAAAATAAATTAAATGAACACAAATTGAAGAGATGGATTCGATTGAAATAACAAAAAATAATCAGAAAATGTTTTAAAGGCACTATTAAACATAAAATTTCACTGACTATCCCATTCTTCAAAATTTATTTTAATTATAAAAATACAAAAAACAATGCTGTTTTTGTTGAAAAGATACACGTCGAAAATAAGTCTTGCTTGCACGAAACGAAAATATTAATAACATTTCATTCGCTAACTCATTATTTTCCATACAACCCAGCCGAATGGCATGCTATCTGCAAGTTCAACCATAGTTCATTGCTCTACTTTTAACATAACATGACTGTAACATAACATAAAATAATGGACTCAAACTCAAAATTCGACTTGCCCATATTTAAAATTTAATGAAACAATATAAGCAATTAATTTAATTAAGTACTATGCATGCACGTATGAAATGGCAATTATACATGTAAATAATGAAAGATATAAAGTTGCAAAGCAGCAGCAGTCATGTGATCGTAAACCAAGTTTAAATCTCTCATCGAAACATACAATCTCATTTGAAAAAGAATCACACTATCAACTTCAAACATACCAACTGTCAATTTGTTTTAAACCATCACACATCTGTTGAGGAATCTTTTCCAATTTTCTTCTTGTCTGACCTCACTGAGTCTAGTTTGGGATTTTTGATCTTATAATCTGTCGTCACCACACAGAACTCTGATGTATGAAGAAAACCATTTATAGGTGCATGTCGTTGGCGTCCATACTCTACTATATCCCACTCACTCTGGCAGTCCTTATTTATATTTTTATTCACTAGAGCAGCAGGATTCAAATCTCCAAGCACGATGTCCGCTATAAGCTGTGCTACACACTAGCTAAAAAATAAATGAATATTTTGGGGGTGTATTGAATTTTATGAATTTAAATTCTTTAAATTTATGAATGACTTTAGACTGTTGATATATCGTTATAAGAAGATCAATATGATAGGTTAGTAACCCAATAAATGCATCAAATAAATCTAAAAAATTAAGAAAAAAATATTTACTTAACTATTTATTAGTAAAAAGTGGATATGGTGGTATACGTATGCTTGTAAATGGAGATGGCATTGAGAGGATGTCACATGTTGAGAGGTGGTGTGGTCGGTTATGGTTAGTCATCAGTCAAGTGTTAACATTGGATGTTGAAAACGGCTGACTGCTTGTCCAGTTTGCTTTTTATCTATCTATCCGTCTGCCTGTCTACCTGTCTGTCTATCTATTTATCTCTCTGTCTGTCTATCTGTTCTTCCTATTTATTTATTTACATATCTATCTACTAACCTATCTGTGGGGGTCTGTTTGTTCATTATCTCAAAAAGTATTGGATTTCTTTAACTATAATACGATATTTATTTAATAAGGAAACCGTTTTGTTGGCTTTCATTGTTACGCGTTTTATACCATCCTTTGTGGCTGGTGCTTCAACAAATGTTTTGGATTTTGTTCCATTTTATTCAGTTCTCATTAGTCATAGATTGTTTTTAAAATTTGTTCTCTTTATTTAATTATTAAAATAATTTATTGAAAAAAAAACACAAAGCGTAATTTGGGACTCTACAAAATATGTATATTCATATATATTAAACATTTATCTAACATCAAGCTATCAGTCACACGTGCTGAATAACTTCTATTCAGATATGACATAGTTTTCAATGTTGCTGCAAATAAATTAAAAAGTCGACAGCCAGTCCATTAAAAACCAACCCCAGTAACTCAATTAAGGAGGTCAGAGAGGATGATAATTGTCTCTACAACGAGTTAATGAATAGGATAAATATAATAGATTCGAGTGTAAAGTGCGTTTAATCATTGTTATGTTGTAATAGCATTCTGCATGGGCAAAATTCATAAATGTTTAATTGCTTGTTAAGTAGTTTTAACTTCGTATGTCTCCCTATGTCACAGTTTATTCCAAGAGATCATAAGACTGGCCAATGTCAGCAAAACGCAGACGTTGTACATTTGTATGTAATTGTATGGAACACATTTATGGCACTAAATGTAAATTTATTTCATTTACTAAAGAATCAAGCCAACTTGTTTTGTGTTAAAGGTGCTTTTAAAAAATTTAGTATGCGTCTTGAAGGAAACGTGCGTTCGTACACATTATGTAGACATGATTGTGAATGTGGGTGTGAGTGAGGAGTTCAGGAATAAGATGAATGCTACAAAAACAACTTATATAATAAAATTCATAATAAGCACAACGACAAACGTTGTTAACCACACACACCTACACGTTTACTCTCAGCCACACTCACACCCACACAACACACACACACACACAAGCCCACGCACAACACAACAACGCCTACAACTCTTAAAGCGACAGAAGAGAAGAGCAGAAGTATGCAGTCTTGCAGTAGGTGAAGATGGTTGCTGTTTGATTGACATTCAGCTGTCAGGCCTCGTTCACAAGTTCAACGAGCAAATAAACGCGGTCCTAAATTGGCAAGTGAACAAACACGCTTACATACAAGCAGAGAGTATGCACAATGCACATACACAAGTACATCACACCCACAACCTACGCACAAAATAGTAGATAGACACGTTGAGGGACCGTCGCAGAACAGTATATGAACAATCTTAGCAACAAGATGCATAATTCTGCGGCTTAAAATATCAAACTTGAAAAAAAATATGCAAACAGATATATACAGGTAAGTAATGATAATGAGAATTTGAAAAAATAAACAAATATGAATGAAATATAACATAAGAAGATGATTAATTTTATATGCTAAAATGTTTAAGTTATGATTCCACGTGTCCCATTGTAATGTAACCAACCAGTCAGCCA